TATTTTTTATACATTTTTTATTTAATTTTGTTTTTATTTTTTATACGTATCACTCCTAACCCAGGCAACACAGGGTCGTAGAAATCACGTAGAATCGTCGACGAATTGGGTCGAATTTGGTCGAAGTTACATTTCAACCATTTTTCGACGTCTCAAAATTCACCAAAACACGACCAATTATTAACTTAGGTCGATGATAACCAATAAATGACGTCATTATCACGTGAACAGATGACGAAATTTTTAAGAAAATATGAAAATATAGTGATAATTAATAAGAAACAGTTGGCCCGTTTTAATGGACCGACAAAAAGTTTTGGAATATTTTTAAAAACTGTAATTATTATTTTTATTTAATTTACGTTATTTCGACGGAGAATCAACGTGCAATATTTTATTAAAATAATTTTAAACATTATTTGGTTTTAAACTAAGATAGATTAATAATTATTATTATTATAATTAGAGATGAGATTTTAGTGTTATTACCTATTTGCCTACGTTAATCATAATTTTAGGTGTAATGGAATAAAAACCGTTTTAAAGAAAATGATTTCATTTGAGCCTAATTTTATTTTACCTATTTTACCTAAATTTTCATTTTTAAGAGAAATGGACCTAATTTTTAATTTTACCACCTAAACTAGTGTAATTTTACCTATTTCATCTAAATTCTTATTTTTAACACAATTTTTTATTTTTAACAGATTTTTTTTTGTAATAATGGGATTGTCGTATTTGGATGACATAATTCTTATGCACCATGTAGTTATTTATTTTGTACAGGATTTGTAATATTGGTTGGTACTACGGTTTTAAATTTCCGAAAAACTTGATCCGGAGCGGCGATAAAAAAACCGTTTTTTTTTCAAAAAAAAAACGGAAAAATTGTTAATTTTTAAAAACGTTGACTTTTGCATATTTTTCATTTTATTCCAAGGGTAATAAGAAAATTTGCAAAAGTCAATTTTTCTGAAAATTTTTACGGATATTATCCGTACACTGATATCGAGGAAAAAGTGAATTTTCGACCCTGAATATAATCCTATTATTATGATTATAATAATTATTCCTCTTATTTTAATCCAGTAGAAAAAAAAAATATATTCGGTGCTGTATTAACATAACTTTCATTTTATTTGACACTTCGATTTATAAAATTATAATTTTGTAATTTAACTTTATAAATCATGCATTGTTTTGTATTTTCAATGGACCCTTTTTTGCAAAAAAGACACTGTATATTTTACGTTTACGTTTATTTTTTTAAATCAATTTAATTTAATTCAATGCAATGTTTAGTTTTATTTATTTTTTTCTGTAAGGTTATTTTTTTTAAGTTGTTGCTTTATTTTAAATGTGTATTATCCAAAAAATATTTTATTTTTTCCCAAAAAAAGCCAATTTTCCCAACGCCTGGGAAAACAAAAAAAATAGGGTTTACTCCCAATTTTTCCGGGTTTTTTTCCGACACATTAAAACCCTAGTTGGTACTGGAAATTGCGAACAGCAACGAATGTGACATTCCTGTGCATTGTTGCCAGGTCTCATGCTTTTGCATGAGATATCAAGTTTTCCCAATAAATCTCATGTTATCATGTTTTATTTAAAAATGTCATGTATTTACACATAGCTTTTTTTATGAAAAAGTATTTTTTATTAAACATTTTTCTCATAATAAATTTATTTTCAGCAATTGTATGCTTATTAACAAAAGTTATTTGAATAGAATATGCCGCCGCGTTAAAAAATTATAAAATTTATGATGGTATTATAATATTTTTACAAGATATATTCGTAAGTTATTTTGAAATCATAAAAATATTGTTCAATAGAATTTTAAACAATAATTAATTACATTTTACCACCTAAAAGTTGATTTCTAGTACCTAATTTAAGAATTTTCACACCTAGAACAAGAAAAAACTTTACCTATTTAGGTACCTATTTTTATAAATTTGGCAACCTAAAATCTCATCTCTAATTATAATTATTGATCAATGGATTTTTTAAAACAAATTCGCGATTTTATCACAAAATAAGAAATTAACATGTTACTGCAGTTGACAATCACACTTTTAATTTTAGTAAAATTATTTATCTACAGTGTTGCCAGATGTTTTATAATTTTCTTTTTTAAAATAGTAAAATTTAAATAATAATCGATAATTGTAACATAATTTAATCCGCCGCGTAGTTTTGCTTGTTTTTATACAATGTTGTTTTGATAATTTTATATAATTTTTTGTAAATTTGATCATTTTGTCAACCCTCTTCGATAATATTAATTTTTTCACCTGGCAACCCTGTTTCTCTTTGGCCTTGGGTAAGTTGGCACTACTTACAAAGCGAGGGAACGTTTATTCCTAAAAAACAATATGGTTGATTCAAGCGTCCAACTTTTATAATCTGTGGCATTTATACATAGAACAAACCATTTATACTTTGACTGTGTCAGGTAGGTCAATTTTTGTTTGTTTATTAATGTTTTAATTACTCAGTATATTCCGTAACGAAGTCATAACACCTAAATGAAGTACCTACATAAGCTCCTAAAATATTGACCTGTCATCTGTCTTAAAATTTAATGTGTTTGATTTTATAATAAATGTTTTGAGCAACTTAAAACATGTTTTATTAATTATTAAACCAAAAGCCCTTTATGCACTGGTAAAAATAATTATTTATACTTATATCCGATATTTTAATGCCAGATATATGCCAGAAATATGTATGTGTTTCTGCAAAGATTAACTTACAATTTTTTTTAATATTCTACTTTTTTACATACATTTATTTTGATTATTAATTATTTACTAAATATATATCTACTATAGTAGTATATATATACTATATATAGTAGGGTTTACCTATTTATTTCTTAAAATTTAAAAGTACAACTAAAAATTTTTTGTTTTTTTAATTTTGACAAAATCACATTTCGCATTGAAATATCTGATATCAGTATCTGTAATTATTTTTATGTGTATGACCTAATCATATATTATTCAAGAAATATTACCTGATTATTCACGTCAAATTACGTAAATAATTACGTAATATTACGTGATTTTACACGTGAAATCGCTGTGACATATTGTCGTCAATTTTACGACGATAAGACGTGTCTAAGTTGGTGACTTCGACGTCACCGTAGACGTAAATTAAACGTGATATTCACGTCACTGTGTTGCCTGGGTAAACAACGTATTTAGAACGTCATCAGTACGTCAATTATAACCCTAAAAAGACGTCTTGGAAAGTCGTCTGACTGACGTTATATTGTTACGTGAATGTCACGTTCCTAGCCAAACGTCTTTAGATGATGTCTCATAGATGTGACATCGCTCGTTCGTCCAAAATTTGACGTCAATATAACGGCAGCGTGTTTGCTTTGTATTAAATTAAGTCTTTAAATTACATCACTATATGAACGTTACAAAGGATTCTTGGGTTTTTAACCTTTAAGTTAAATTAAATTACATCTTAAATTAAATTACTTTTTTGTTAGAACCAGGCTTCCCAGCAAACAGAACCACGTTTTAATCACGTTTTTTTTCGTCCCATTTCGCCGAAAAGACGTCTTTTTAGGACGTAAATATCACGTCACTATGACGTTCAAATGGCACTCTTCTGAGACGTCTTTTAATTACGTAATATACTCGTCTTTTAACTACGTAATATACCTGTGTCTTGGTAACGTATTATTTACGTATAAAGGTAACATGCAAATAAAAGTATATACCATGAAAGAAAAATTTATTTTATCACATTCAACAAACATAATACAACAAAAAACAGTCTTTATAAAATTATTAAAACATTATTAAATATATAAATTTCTTTAAACATAAACAGATAATTTTAGCTAACAGTCTAGACTGTTTAAAAAAATCGACTATTTTTTTCCTTATATATATCGAAAACAATGTTGTAAATGATGAAAAAGAGACAATGTGAAAGTTACAGCTCTTAATATTAATATTAAGAGGTGCCGCATCGCAAATTTCAATTTCCCATTTGATTAACAGGGAAAACTTTGGATTTTTTGAACTCATTATCGGATAGTCACATTCATAAGGCCGTAGCATATCCTTGTAGGGAATTAAACGCTGTACAAAAAAGGACTCTAGAAGTATTTTATTAAACCTAATCCTTCAAAAGTCAGGGTTAAAGTTAGATTCATGATAAATTTCAACATTTTTATAGTTTTCCGACGAAACTATAAGTTTTATGAAAAAATGTTATCCGACCTTTTTTGTAGATCATTTCATTTTCTATAAGGATGAGTTATGAATTTTTTTGAATTCTTTAAGAGTTGTAAGTTATTCGGATTACAATGTGAAATTATCCAAATAATTGACTTTTAATTGATTACAAAATTAATTATATTGAATTTTTATAACTGAAAATAAAATTTTATCACTATTTGACCAACTATCGATTTTACATACATTTATTTCATAGTTTATTAAATGGTGACAGAATTTGATTTTCAGTGATAAAAATTCAATAATATCAATTTTGTAATTGATTAAAAGTCAATTATTTGGAAAATTTCTCATTGCAATACGAATAACTAACGACTCTTAAAGAATTAAAAAAAAATCACAACATATCCTTGTAGAAAATGAAATGATCTACAAAAAAGGTCGGATAACATTTTTTCATAAAACTGATGGTTTCGTCGGAAAACTATAAAAATGTTGAAATTTATCATGAATCCTAACCCCAAGTAACTTTTGAAGGAGTAGGTTTATCAAAAAACCGCCGGTCCTTTTTTGTAGAGCGTTCAATTCCCTACAAGGATATGCTACGGCCTTATGAATGTGACCATCCGTTAATGATTTAATAAATTTCAAAGTGTAACAGAAAGTTTTCCCCATGTTAATCCAATGGGAAAATTAAATTTGCGATGCGGTACCTCTTAATATTAATATTAAGAGCTGTAACTTTCTTCACTGTGTCGATTTGTTTAAACAGTCTAGTGCATATATTATTCACTCATTATTCAGATAGTGAGTGAAGGATACACTTTCCGCATCATTTAATGGAAACACAATACATTTGGCAATTACCTCTTGCAATGGCCAATTGTTTAAATTTGTAGACAGATCTGATATCAAATATATGTTTAATTCGGATGATTTAATTGGGTAAGTGTAAAAAAACGTTTGAAAATTAAATTTCTTACCTATTATTATAACCGAATTACTGTTAAGATAAACTATATTTTGAATTTGCACAATATATTGTGATGTAGATTTGCCAATTAGACAATAACAGTTAGCGACTGAATAAGAATGGGTTGATAAAGTAAAATTCCTCAAAATTACTTTTTTATATTGTCTGCAAACATGTATACTATTAATTAAAGGTCCTAAGTTGTGCGGAAATTTGAGATCCCATTTATCTGAATTACGTTCTTCAGTTGATAGTACATTATAGCTTTCAATTAAACGATTATGTATTTCAGTTAACGGATGATTTGTTGATTTCACCAAATTTTTTATTTTATTTAAAAAGTTTTCATATGGGAAAGCTGAAAATTTATCAAGTACACCATACCATGACGCACATCGTCACTTAGATGGCAGAGATTATGTACATTATAGATTAAAAAAGACTTACCATAGAATGAAGAATGATTAACAAAAGTGTTCAGTAAAGTCTCTGCAAAATCTACTCCCAATTTAACTAAAGCTGTTTCAGAAATTAATATGTTAATAGCGCAATGCAGCAGCATAAAATGCTCATAAATCGCCAAATCTATGTATTTTTTTAATATTATTGGCCCCACATATAGTAAGAAAGTTCTTAGCTCTGTGGCTTTCCATCGAGGTAATTCTTCTAAGGACCTACATTTTCGATTAAATTCAACCGGTATAAACTTTTTAAAACTTTCCAAATCCAATGATATTTTTTTACAACAGTACTTGACAATCTGACGTTAAGAGGTCCTGCAATCCAATGATTTAACAACTTTTTGACGACACCGAGGCACACATTATGCATGTAATCAAGCGGAAATTGGCTGACCATTCCAAAAGGAAGATGGACCAAAGGCGAAATGCCTAGATGGTGATCTTCGTCTACCTGTTTAGCAAAAGTTTCATCTGTTCTTTTGGGAGCGGATGTACTATCATAAATCACCCTTCCGTTATTAAAATCTCCGTAAACTGTACATTTCTCGCAAGCTGCATATCCCCCGTGGTTTTTAACGCGTTTTAAAAAAGCTCGCGCTGGCGCATCGCAAACGAACCCAAATATTTTAACAAAATATTGTTTTTTATTATAATTGAAACCTTCCAAAATAGCATTTTGGACTTCCAAAACAAAATCATTAAGAAACAGCTCTAGAGGTTTGGGTTTTGAATTACCATAGAAAATTCCAATAGGAAATGGGTGGGTGGGACAATTTTTTACTTGACCCAATATTGGCCAAATTTGACCGTTGCAACTTTTAAAAAGCGGTAAGCCATCTATATTGAAACAAATTTCTAAAATATTGCTTGAAAATGTAGGATTGTTTATGAGAAAATGTTCCAATACAGTAATAAATCCTAAATGGCAATATTTGCCTGTGTCTAAAATTTCTACTTTTATTTTAGTTGGGGTTCCCAATAACGTGCGACTGTCTAATGGCAGATCGGGATGCAAAGGTGATAAAATGTGAAGTAATTTGGTGATGCTATTGTGGGTTGGTTTAGAGGTAATTGTCCAATGTCTTAATTTATCACATAGAGTAACATTATTTTTACTAGTATTAGAGGTAGGAGAAGCATTATTTTCAGCAACATGTTCTGACCCGCAAACTAAATTACCGATTACATCTAAATTATAAACAATTTCATTTGTTTCTAAAGACGCCAGAAACTCTTTAATTTTGAAAGAATCATCGCGAGTGTCTGTCTCAACTGTATCATCAACTGTATCATCAATGAAGTGAGTTTCAACATTATTGCTTTTAGCATTGGAAAGTTGCACAGCACTTCTAGAAGGTACCAAAAGGTTACTTACATTTGAAGTTTTATCAGACTTAAACAAAATTTCCGCCAAATGTTCTTCATGTTTTTTTAACCTTCTATAATACTGACTTTTTTTAACTCTTTTATACATTTTCGTTTTCTCTGTTCAATTTCTCTTGTGCAGCAAAATAATTTTTTGGGGATCGTTTTAGCCAGTTCTTGATCTGGTCCTCGATGTTTCTAGCGGTTGCCTGCGGAACTGCTATTTTTACTGCATCTACATACATATATAAATTTACTTTGTCAAATTTTTAAAGATTTAATTGCACTTACCAACAATAACTTTTTTCAATATATAATTGTTAAAAGCCTTTTTGTTATTTCTTGTCCCCAAAAAACTTATATCTTTACCAAGTCCATATGAAAGGCAACATCTTAATGCAGAGGAAGTTGCAGATGACACGTTGGTTCTATCCAGACTTGCTAAATAATAACACTAAAATCACTAAAGTTATAACAAAGACAACATTAATTAAATTCTTACCAATGATTGCTGATTAGTCTTTTCGGCCAAATGTCTTTCCAGTTCTTCTAGTTCCTCCAGTGTTTTTAATGGTATTGGAACTGGAAGATCTGGTTTGTTATTTCCTGAATTATTTGAATTACTTCTCAGAATTGATAAAATTTCCTTGTTTTGATCAATTATTTTAGACAAACATCGTATTAGTTTGCCCTGAAAGGCTAATTACAACATAAATAAACAAAATCCAATAAGGTAAATTGTACTTACCTTCGGCTTGAATTCCATCCAACCTAGGTTCTTGTTCAAAGGTTATGTTTAAAGGTGGATTACATACAGATCGGTCTGTGTTTTCTGATTCAGAAATTGCGCTTGTTGATGGTAAAGGAACAAAGTCATTAATTTGTGATGGTTTGAACCCTGTTGGTTTGACTATTACGATTAGGTGTATTTTGAATACTTTCACTGATTTTCAAACCCAGTGAATGCACTGAAATATGAAATAAAACAAATGAGGGGCTTAAAAGAAAAAGGGTTCAAGTAAACTTAAAAAAAATATATAAACTATCTACAAAATACCACACTTAAAAGCAATATTAAAGGTAATATTTTTTATGCCTGTAATATTTTTTATGCCTATACATAATTACATTTATTTCCACCTTTTTAGTAAATGACATTTTATAGGTTAATTTTGTTGTTTTTGTATCCAAGTAAACAATACATTATGGGAACAGGCCTGTAATATTTTACGGGCTTGTATAAAAGACCTGTAACGTTTCACAGGCTTGTACTGTCTGTCCACTCTAAGTTGGCGGAACCAAGGAATTTTGTAGTTTAGATATTAAAGAATTGTCGTACTGTGGGCCTTTAATATCTAAACTACAAAATTCCTTGGTTCCGCCAACTTAGAGTGGACAGACAGTACAAAAGCAATTTGGAAATCGTTATGTAAAGGTGAAAATAAAAGTTTGTACGTGTCACATTTTGCAATTAATCTTTACTAGGCTCACTGGATTATGGGGCTTGCATGTAAAGATTCATTTACAAAGCTTGACACGTAAATAAATATAATAAATTATTATATTTATAAATTTTTAAAACGGTATTATTATTAATAATACCGTGCCTTTAACATTTCGAATCGCGGCACGTTTGTCAATTAAGCGATCATGCGCAGTAAGAGGAGCCGCCAGTGGCATTTAGCGTCTCGTATATTTTAAGCCTTTAATTAACGTATTATGATTAATATACAAGGTGGTCCAAAAGAAACCTTTTAATTAATTAAATAATTTAAGAATCAATACAAAAGTTAAAAAAATAATTTTCTTAACAAACTCATATTAAAAACTAAACAGTTACAGAAATACAAGTGGATTTTTTTTAGAAAAAAAAATTTCTTCCAAAGTAAAATTGAAATTATTTAAATTATTTTTTGTATATTCACACATATTTACTTCATAAATCAACTACTTATTTTAAAAATGTGGAAAAATTTTTTCGATCTTCGGAATTCCTTTATTTTATCTTAAAATAAGTAATATTACTTCCATAGTGACCCACTGCTGTACTTAAATTACATAACATTTTTAAAGCAACATTTTTACCCCTCCCCCCCTATGTAACAGATTGTAACAAATTTTTTTATTCTAAGAAATTTTAGTATAGCATGATCAATTTAAATATTTTTATTGATCACCAAAAAATGTTTGATAATTTACGTACAAGCATTAAGGACCCCCTCCCCTGTACCATAACAAATAATAACAATTTGATAGTACACCTCCCCCCCCTAAATTTGTTATGTAATTTAAGTACAGCCCCTTATATATAAGCAAATAAATCTTACCTGATTTACTGCAACTTGGTGAAATTTGAATAATAGGAGGGCGCTGAAATTTGCTTATAGCCTCGTCATCAGAGGATACTTCTTGGTAATCATCATATCTACTGGGTAATGTTCGAATTCTTTTATTTTTAGTTTTGAAGCAATTATCATCATTTTCTAATTGAGTGTCGGACTGGAAATCGGATGTGAATTGGGCCCTCTTAATTTTAGATTGAGCTTTTATTAAATCATCTACAAAAATTATTACATAAAGTTATTGTTGACTGCAACAAGCTGATACCGATCTATTCATAGATTGATCAGTGCTCTAACATAGATTCTACCATTAAAAAACAATTCTACTTACCAGTTTCAAAAAACAATCTTTTGACCGCACAAGTTTTCCAATTGGCGCCTGTTTTCTCCTGTTTTTGAAGTGCTAAATTGTATTTATGTTGTTGTTTATATGGTGGCCATTGTACATGTTTTTTTCTCGGAGTCAGCCATCTATTGCATACAACAGCTACTCCTTCATCGTTTTCAAATTCAATGCCAACAAACATGTTAACTATAGCTATTTAACTAGAAAAGGCACTATAAAACACATCACCCTCAAAAAAGAAATACAAACCATTTAAATAATGCCCACAAAACACAATATATATCAATAGTATTGATTCAATACTCAATATCAATAGACCAAAACAACGCTAGGCTGGCAACATAAATAATAGGACCACGCCGAGATAAAGAAGCCGCCTACTTGGCCTACTCGGCGCGCGGTTTTACAGCCCGCGAAATTTGAAAATATCATTTTTAAAATACTTGGTTTCCATTAAAAAAAGTGAAAAAAATATATACAATTAAAAAATATAAATGTATTGATAAATATAAGGGTTTAATTTTAAAATCAATAAATAAAACAAAAGATTTATTAATAAACTTATAAAAAAAATGTATTGCAAAGTACCTAACAATTAATAAATCTTTTGTTTTATTTATTGATTTTATAATTATAAAATTGTAAATTTGTAATATTACAATAAATACAACATCAAAATAAGGGTTTATTGCAAAAATTGTTAAGTTATTTAAAATTTAAAATAAACACATAAAACAGATGATATAATAAAATTATTAATAATAACCGTTTTTAAGCAATATTTAATTATTTATATTGTTTGTTTGTTTATTTAAAGTGACCATAAATAGAATACGTACCGTGCCTAAAAAAATTGATTAATATGGACATGTTATTCAAGGAGAAAAAACGTGTTTTTGAAGTAAAAAAAGCATTTTTTTTATTGCTGCAACAAGAATATAATTGTTGTAATGCAATATAATTGTTAAAATACAATACAATAGTGATTATTATTAAGCGAAAACTAATTAAATTATGCTTGTTTAGTACGTCAAGAAAACACGTAATAGTTACGTAAAATAGTACACGTGATTTGACCACCTAAAATCAACGTGTTAATCACGTACTCGTCGCGGATCTGTTTGCTGGGTTAACACGTTGTATACTGTAAAAATATAGTTATTAGTTAAATTAAACCCCAGCCACCTTAAACAGTACATTTTGGCGATGAGAAAACAAACAAACATGAACGCAACATTGGCAAGAGTACCTGTGGAACCCTTCAACCTGCAGGGAGATACTGGCAACATGGGGCAGAGATGGAAACGCTGGCTGGAAAGGTTTGAAAACTACGTGACGGCGATGGGCATCAAGGTGATCTATGATATGATATGATCTATTTCAGTCCCTACCCAATCCTACATCCACCACAACCTCTAACGATCCCTTAAACATTTATAAACAAACAAAAGAAAAACGCAAGCAATATTTCCAACCCAAAACAAACACAGAATTTGAATTTTTTTATTTCCGACAAGGCTGCTAAAATTGTCAAAAACATGTGAGTTTGCAGACTCAGAAAAGGAAACACAAACAACACCAAACTGAGGCAATATGGCTTAACAGAGCAACCATTACTTGACAATAAAACGAGGGAAAACCCTGGAATCAACACAACAACCAATAAAAGTTATCTAAAAAAAGGAAACAACCAACAAAACAACAAAAAGTTTTCAAAATTACAGGAAATGCATGAACTGTCGTTACGATTGGCATGAGGGGTGGACTAAAGACATGTCCAGCTCGCAAGGCAAAATGTGACGAGATGGGTCACTATTCAAAGGTATGCCTACGCAAGGAAACAAACAAAACGCCAACAAATTTAACAAACTGGCAAAAAAAGAGAGGTCAACCAAGTTGAAAATTCCTTCAGACTGACAACAATAACAAGAGGACCGATGGTAAGCATACAAGTTAACGGCTCCAAACAAAAATTCCTAATTGATACAGGTACGTCAGTAAATCTAATAATCAAACAGGCTCTAAACAATTTTTTGGAAGCAAAAATTAAAACCACAAATTGTGCAATCTACCCATACAATTCAGACTCTCAGCTAAAACTAGTTGGAAAATTTGTAGAAGTCATTACTTAGCTACGAAATGAGAATATTGCTAGGACTGATCCAAATAACATGTAATATTACAAACAGCATTGAAATTGACTATAGTCCATGTATACATTGTAAAACAATACCCAAATACTGTAAATGGAGTAGGAAAATTAACGAAACACACAGTAAGGCTCCATATAGATGAAAACAACGCCGTTAGCGCAAAAACATAGAAGAATACTGTTTCATCTGATAAAAGCGCTGGAAAATGAAGTCAACAGATTGAGAGAGCAAGAAAGATATCATAGAAGAAGTCAGTGGACCAACACCATGGGTATCACCAGTAGTCTTAGTACCCAAACTACATGACCCAACAAAAATCAGACTGTGTTGACATGAGAGCTGCTAACAATGCAATAAAGAGAGAACACAACGATAGATGACCTAATATCACGACTAAATGAAGCACAAATATTTAGCAAGATAGATTTAAAAGATGGTTATCAGTAAGTGCGGATTTATAAGCATAAAAAAACTTAAAATAAGCGCATAAAAATGCATAAAAAATTAGGCATAAAAATACAAAAAATTAGGCATAAAAATACAAATAAGCATAAGTATAAAAAACATAAAATAAGCTCATAAAAAGGCATGAAAATTAAAAAATTAGGCATAAAAATAAGAAATATTAGTAAGAATTGTTTACAGCAAAAATTAAAAAGTTTCACACACTCATGCTATGGGCGGAAGAATAGCAGCTTACACTGATTTGTTTTTTTTTTTTGTAAACAAATATCAGTATATTTTAAATATTATAAATCTGTTTTTAATGAATATTTATTGTAAATAGGCAGAAAGATTAAGGTCGTTAGCCTTTTGGAGTAATCCAATAAAGTTTTTTTTAAGTTTATAAAATTTACATTTTTAACTTTTAGTTATTAAAAGAACTAATTATTATTATAATTATAATTAATTGTTTTTTCAAGAGGAAAGCCCATTCTTCTATCACTTAGTATATTTTTGAATAGAGAAAAACTTCGTTCGACGTCTACGCTAGTTATTAGAGCATATTTAGGAATAATAGCTGTAACTATTATAAGATCTTCAATGACATCTCCTTTCATGCCTTTTGAAATTTGTTCTAAGGCTTTATATCCATGATTTATAGTTAAAACTTCTTTTAATTTTTTGGAAATTAATTCCCCTATAGGTCCACGTACTGTTAAAGCCTCATTTGTAAAATCTTCAATTATTTGCACTGCTTCTACCAAGACAAGGTTTTTTGCTTCAAGTTGTAATTGCTTTGCTCACAAAACTGTAATTTGTTTGAATAAATTCTAAATTTTGTTTAGGTCCTTAATTTTTTACAATATTCTGGCATTCTGTAACTGATTCGGAAGCGGAATCAGGAAGATCTAACACAATATTCTTAAAATGTTCAGCATAATGGCAGGCAGCATCTAACCACGTACCCCACCTTGTAATAACGGGTTCAGGAGGAAGTGGTATATTTTTCGAAAACTTTGAATTCTTAATGGAGCTTTTAAAAAAACCTTTTTACCAGTTTTGATCAAAGTGTTGAACACGGGAAACTGCATCCTAATTTCATAGTTTCTGCCACTCGATTGAGTCTATGTGTAAACATGTGCTATGGATTAGGTTTTCATAAAAAACTTTTAAGTTGGAATATACCTTTAAAATATATGCAGCTGCATCAGAAAGCATTAATATTATTTTTTCATTTGGAACAGGGTTTGGTAAAAATAAATTCGTTAATCCATCGTGAATAAACCTTGTAACGGTTCCTGTCTGGTTCCGGTTCCGAGAGAAACGAAAAATTTAGGTTCGGATTCAGTTACGGTTTCAAAAAAATATTTCTGTCCGATTCGGACCAATCTTTTCGGTCCATACGGTTTTTTTTCGGTTCAAAATTTTTTACCATTTATAAACCTATAGGTATAAATAAGTAAAATTAGGTATAAAATAAAAAAAATTTTTTTGGCATGCATGCATTTAATTACATGTAATTAAATTACTTCAATTTTAGGCTCTTCATTCTCTTTTTCTTTACTTTTATTGTCGATCGACTTGCTATCTTTTTCTTCTGATCTTGCGATTGAAAAACTGAAAAATTCATCAAAATAAGGGAACGTACGTTATAATTTTTTTTTGGCATGCATCAGGGTTGCCAGATCAGTCAGCGAAATTTACCCAATCTGAATTTTTAAAACCCCTAAATTAGGAATTAAAAACAAAAATCCCCAGACTTTTTTTTATTAATTATTCTGATTTATTATTGAATTCTAACTATTCTTGTTGATAAAATATGTTTTTCATATCTATGTGTTAATGCAAATGTGTTGACTATTTGTTCGGACTTTATACATTTGGGCAACTAGAATGTGGAGTGAACAAAAGACGATTGGTGATCGGTGCGCCGACGTGCCCGATTTGGAACGAAGGTGTACGAACAGGGAGACGCTTGAGAGCAGCGATCGAAGAAACGTGAAGCTCAAGTATACTGTTAAAAAATGTAAATACAGTTTTAGAGTTAATTATAATAAATCGCCTAAATAGTGTGATGGTGTCATTTATTAAACATTTTGTGGTCCTTCGAACTGGATTAGGCCTGTGTAAGAGCAAAAAGCAAAAGTTTTTTCCTACGTGACAAGTGAGAAATTCATTGAAACAATCGTGCATACGTGACAAGTGAGAAATTCATTGAAACAATCGTGCCTACTTGACCAGTGAGAAATTCATTCAAACAATCGTGTTAAAAGTCTGTCAAACGTGACGTTTAAAAAGTCATTCGAACACAACAATTGTGTTGTGGAAACCAGATGTAATAAAACTGTGTAGATCAGGTACAGAAGAAAAGCAACAAAGTGAGTACTCCTTTAAATTCCTTTCCATAGTTTCTTGAAAAATACTGTGAAATTATTTACGTGAGTTTTTTTAATAAAATTAAAAATGACTGGAAATGGGGTATAAAATCTCAGGTTACTAGATTTAAGAAATATGTAGATACTTTAAAATTAGAGTTACAACAGCTAGAAAGTCAAGAATCAAAAGACGAGAGTGTATTTAACAATACTATTTCACAATTTTCTAGTGAGTTAGGGCTGCGTTTGTTAGAATTTGAGACAATTTTGGATAATTTTAAAGAATTCAGAATGAGATCGAGCCTTTGTCAGATTACGACGAAAAACAATTAGATGAGCGTGAAACATTTGCAAGGGAATACTTTTCTGTGTTAGCGGACAGTTTAAGTCAAAAGTTTAAGTCAAAAAAGTGAAGCGTCCTCGAGACAAAGCGTTCCTGCTGCAATGAATACCGGGGTAAATCAAAATAATGCGTTGTTCGGTGTCAAACTTCCGCAAATTTAGTTAGCGAAATTTAACGGTTCAAATGAGACTTGGCTAGAATTTAGAGACATGTTTGAATCGCTTATTAATCCAAATAGGGATATTGGAAACATTCAGAGGTTTCATTATTTTTGGGCTTCGTTGAGGGCAGCGCAAAGCAGGTTATAGAGTCATTAGAGTTTACGGAGAGTAATTATGAAACGGCGTTTAGTTTACTGTGCGAGAGATATAATAATTGGGTGTTGTTAATAAATAATCATTTAAAAGCAGTAGTTAACATAAAATCATTAAATAACGAATCAAGTGCGGAGTTAAGAAAATTGTTAGACATGGTGAAAAAACATTTAAGAGCACTAGAATCATTAAAGGTAGACGTAACAAACTGGGACGTACTCTTAATATTTATTTTATTGGATAAATTGGACGAAACTACCCTACCCTGGGGAAACGCACAAATCAACTGAAGAATTACCTAAATTAGAGAAATTCTATAAGTTTATTCAAACGAGGGCAAACTTACTAGAAACCTTGGAAATTACAACAAAATTTAAATCTAAAGAATCTACAAGAATTCGTACATTAACAACAAGTGAGAAATGTAATGTGTCAAATGTGTGTGTAAGTTGCGGAGAAAATCACAGAATTTTTGAGTGCAAAGGTTTTTTAGATTTAAAAGTGGACAAGAGAGTAGAAAAAATTAAGAGTTTAAGATTGTGTTTTAATTGCCTAAAGGGTTTACATTCGTCACTAGAATGTAATGCCGGAACTTGCCGGAATATGTTCCAGAAAACATCATATATGACTATAGTCTTTTGCATTATGATAATAAGAGGTATAATACAAACACAAATCGAGCGGAAATAGTTTATGACAATACGAAGGGCAATACAAATCAATC